ATTATTGATATTTTCACATTCTCTTTAATTTCGACTTCGACAGTGGCTATTTTTGAACTTTCCAGCTCTGCAGAAACTAATTTGACAATGTTGCAACTGATTACAAATTTCTGGTAACAGGTCACAAACTGCCACAACTCCAGATGTGTTGTCAACAATGACGTCTCAACTGACAGAACAATAAATAATACATTTCATGACAAAAAATTCACCTCACCCTTATAGAAACCGAGGCCACAACCCAAGGCACGCCATCTTTTATACTATTTTTAATAAATTCCACACATTCTCTAAGTTACAAAATAAAACTGAGGGGAAAATTATTTCAAGACATGCTTCAAATCCCAGCATCAGGAGTTTATGTTTTTATTTCTTTAAAAATGGTGCCTTTCTTTTTATTTTATTTGTAACTTTTAAGTTAATGATCTTTTCCTTCGGTTATATTAATAACAAAGAGATTAAATTATCATATTTTAATATAAAATTACACGTTAATCAGATTTTACCCTAAATCTAACTTATATGCGCCGCTCTAAAGTATTACACATCATTCTTAAGGATGGATTGCAAGATAGAAAAATATCCAATGTTCTTCAATCTAGAACAAAATATTTTTTCTTCCCTAACAATTTATCTCACATACTGATGTTGATTTTGTTATTGTATTTATGTAATAACCTTCCTATGTTGTCAACCAAAGAAAGCATTGAGAATTTTTTTGATTTCCTTGGTTGACAACATTGAGAAATTTATTACTAAACACAATCATCCATTTCTTTTTCATGTTCTCTTTTATGTGAAAGCATTTTCCATGAAAAAATTGCTCAAGATAATAAAATCTCTCTAAGATGGATTACAAGTACATAAAAAAATTTCTCTTGGTTGAAGCAGATAACTTCTCAAAAATCTGAAAACAATGTAAATATTAAAAAGTTTCTCTTGTTTTTCAAAAAATAAATTTAGGTTTATTTAATATGTGATTGATGATATTGTATTTACTTTGCCAAAGATTTATGTGATGGATTGCAATAGCAGAAAATGATCAAGGATTTAAGGTTTGTGTTCTTAAATAATCATATAACTGAATATTTATTTTATTTATCTATTCTTTTTTTATATCAAAACAAATGAATGCAAAAGCAATAGAAAATATACTGCATTCAACATTTGATCTTCCCCAAAATCAACGAAACGAGGATCCCCAACATTTTCTATTCTCCAAATATCAAATATTTATTCCTCGCCGAAAGCGATGATGGTGAAGAACTATATTTTTACTTTAATATGCTATGTAAACAATGTAGTATTTAACCAAATAATTTTATTAATACTCTATGTAAACAATGAGTGTGTGTGAATGTGTGTGTGTATGTGTGTGTATATATATATATATATATATATATATATATATATATATATATATATATATATATATATATATATATATATATATATATATATATATATATATATATATATATATATATATATATATATATATATATATATATATATATATATATATATATATATATATATATATATATATATATATATATATATATATATATATATATATATATATATATATATATATATATATATATATATATATATATATATATACATTCCCTCGGTTTTATTGTTAAACTGACAAGTATGTGTTGTTATTTTAGAAAATAACAAAAAATTATTTCTGATATTTGAATCCATGACAATTTAAACTAACCCTTCGGCTATTTAATCTGAGGGGTAAAGTTTCCACTTTTCATGTCACCATTCTTTACGTCGACATTATAACCGAGGAGATATCCATTTCACGTCCGGCATGACATGTGTTATTTATGGTTGTGTGATCACAATCCCTCTATTCGTTGCATCATACGACCTGTAACCACCGGTAGAATGACACCCTACAAGTATCATCAATTCTCCCTTATCATCCAACTTCTTTCTAAGTTGCCCTATAACTTGTTGATACGCTATACAACTGAAAAATCTCTTGTGATTCAGGTTGATCAATTTAAATTCAGACCATGCTTCCTCTGATATTATCTTCTCAAGTTTCTTTATTGGACACATATTCAACAAATACACAACCATGTACACTGTTTCTCCCCATAACTCTTTCGACGAGTTTTTCCTCTTCAACATGCTTCTCGTCACGTTCATGATAGATCAATTATTTCTTTTGGAACACTGTTTTTATATGGTGTATAAGGTGGTACTACCTCATGCATTATCCCTTATTGACCATAAAACTTTCCAAAGTCATTTGAGACATATTTTCCTCCACCATTCATTTTGTGCACTTTGAGCTTGTGTCTGCTTTGCTATCAACCATGGACTTGAACTTCTTAAATAATTTGAATACTTCATCCTTTCTCTTGATTAGGTATGTTCATATATTTCTACTATGATCATCGATGATTGTGACAAAATATTTATTGCCAGTAATCAAGTCAACTTGCCTCGGTCCACACACGTTTGAATACACCACCTCAAGGTTATGTTTGGTTTCACAACTTACTTCCTTTCTAAATTTACTCTTATGTTGCTTTGCATGCTCACATACTTCACAAATTTCAGCCGATATGTTAATCAATGACAGTCTTTTTACCATTCCGTTCTTTTGAAAGGTATTGAGATCTCTAAAGTTAAGATGCCCAAGCCTATAATGTCATATCCACTATTCTCTACTATATATTGTATCAAAGCACCTATACTCCATAACTTTCAACTCAACCTTGGAAGTTCTATTGGAAGCTATAAAACTTTTTAGGACCAAAACCTTGTTTGCATCCATAACATGTAGCGCTTTATTCTCCATGAGAACCTTGTAAACCTTCTCAAACAATTGGCCAATACTTATAAGGTTACACTTGATTTCTGGAATGTACAACACATCTTTGATCAAGGAATGTCCAACATCCCTTCTCATGATCAAAACATCACTGATCGCATTGGCTGCTAAAGTCTCACCCGCGACTTCACTTTGTTCTTCATGGCATAACTGATTGTAACAAACCAATATTTTATCCCCCTAATATGAGTTAAACATGCGGAGTCCAAATACCATTGATCTCTGCATTGTAGTGCTTCTTTCAAAGTCACTGTTGAATTTTCTTTTGCATGTAATCAATTACATTATGGTTTTGTAACGTTTCTAAAACTACTGATGCTACCGTCGCACAACCTGTTGCTACTACATTTCCCCCTATGTGATCATGACCAAGAGTGTTTTCTCCTTATCAAACTCTTGTCTTGCAACATTAACTTCATCCACTAGAGGTTCCTTCTTGTCAACATTGCAACAAAGCATCGCATCTTACTCTTGTCTATCCTTCTCCTTTCACCTCTAAAGTTTTCTTGACCACCATTTTTATTGCAGCTGCTTGCACCCTTTTGACAAGTCAAATTCTCAGAATTTTGAGATTCTCTTCCACCTAAATTCTAAAAATTCCCTTTACTCTTCATGGGTCATTTTTCTTCCAATTTTTTGTCCTTCTCGTTGAAACGAGCTTGCAAAGCGGTATCCTCCTTTTCTTTATCACAATATATATTCTCTATTCTTTGATCATGTGCCATAAGAGAGCTTTGTAGCTCATTTTCGCTCATCGTCACAAGATGCTTCGATTCCTCAATCGCTACGACCACATTGTCAAATATTGGCGTTAAAGAACACATAATTTTTGTGACAAAAAATTGCTCTATGACTGTTTCTTCACATGCTTTTACTTGGTTCACCAACCGAGCAATTCTCATTGTGAAATTATTGATGGTCTCCTTTTTTTTCATTTGAATCAACTCGAGTTGACATTTTTGAGTTTGTAACCTCACCATCTTTGCCTTGTCATCCTTGCGTATGCCTTCTCCAAGATTTCTCACGCTTGCTTCAAAGATTTGCAATCACCAACTTTCTCAGAGTTGTCTGTACCCACACATTGATGGATAAAAAACAGCGTCTTGAAATCTTTCTTCTTTTCTTCCTTATGCATTTCTAGTTGTGCATTTGTTGCACCTTCGACAAGAGGATTCACATTGTTCTTGATCACTTCAAGAAAATTTTGGTAGCCAAATAACATCTCCATTTATTTGCACCATTTTCGTAGTTCTTCGCATCAAAGAATAATAGGTTTGCAGGAATTCTTTCATTGGAGACTGAATTCATGTTGCACACTAGGTGTTTGGTGGATCGAACCAGGCTATGATACAAAATGTTATAACTCGGAACTACACGATTGGTGAAAATGGAGTAATTGAATGCGGAGAGGAAGACTCAGAGATAAAAAATTAGAGAGAGTATAATTGAGGGCGAGAATTGATATTAACATTGATTGAGATACTTCTGGGGTATTTATACAAAAATACAATGGATTGGGATACAAGTAACAAAAGCTAAAAACTGAAATTAATTGCCTGTAACTAATGACCAAAACCTATAACCAATTACATCGGTTTGAAAACATAAAAATATAACAATGATAACAAATTACTGCGAATGTGTAACCAGTTACACTATCCACATATTTAGTTATTTTTATCTTCTTTCTCATGTTTACACATTTGTAATCGGTTACAACCCTGCAATAACTGATTATAGCACTTGGATTAGTGTTTTTCACACTACGGTTTTTATTTTTTTTATTTTAAAAGGAGTTTTCTATGTAAAAATTGAACAACTATTTTTTATATTTAATAATTTATACTCTTTATTAATCCATTACTATTGTATGTATTAATTTTGGTAAGTATTTTTATTGTTTCTGTTATACAAAAAGAGATAATATAACAACTTCAAATTTTCAGTTGTGTGCAATGAAGAAAATGAAAATATAATCAAGTATGTATTTATTAAGTCACTTTCTAAAAAAAGATACAAGTAGCAATATGGTAATATTACTTAAGAATATATAAACCAAAGCGCGTACATGAAATAATATAGATAGCTATTTATTATTCTTAGTCAAAGGCAGCAGCAGCACACTAGTTGGTGTCGGTTAGACATGATCAGATGAAGTAATTGGAAGTTGTTGTGTCTCAATCTGCTTCATTGTAAGTGACGATGGTGGCATAGTAGTAGTGGCTGATGAACAGTCTTTGCCTTTACCCCATATAACAGAATAAAGACCGACTGCAATAATCACTGCTCCAATGACACTGTTATCCATAAGAGAGCATTATTCACCAAATTAAGAAAAAGATGCAATAAAGCACATCGTTTAACAGAGATGCAAAACTCAAAATTTATTACAGTTAAACAGTGATTACATAGAGCACATAGAACTGCTATTTGTTTTGTTAATGTGGAACCTTCAAAAACTGAAGACACATGGTTAATTAAACTTTAAATTGTGATAGTAAGAAAGATTAGTAAGATATACCTGCCCAAGTGGAGTTGTTCTCCGAAAAGAAAGGCGCCTAAAGCACAAGTGATGATCATACAAAGAGGATTAAATGCTGTGAAAAATACTGGGCCTCTACTTTGGAATACCAACCCTTGCACATAATATGTTATTCCTGAGGTAACTATTCCCTGTAATTTTGAAGTTCATTAGGTAACTGTAAAATAGAAAACATTGTTGATAAATAAAAACATTGTAAGTAATAGAGGAGGTACCGTGAAGAGAGGACCATAGAGTCTAAAATCCCAACCAAGAGCCCAAACCCCTGGACCTGAGTGACGCTCGGCCACCAACGCCACTGCGGTACTCATCAAAGAACCAACTAAGCAAATTAACGTAGACAATGACATTTCTGCGGGATACTTTTTCAACGTGATCGACTGCAATTCATATTCATAATGTGTTATACAACATGATGGATGATACGTATCAATTGAACAAGACCTAAAATATAATTACCTGTAATATGAAGAAAGATGACCAAGCGAAACAGCCCAATAATACAAAAAGTGTTCCGGAGACCCAATGTTTAAGAGGTTGAGTGTCGTGACTTCCAGCATGATGATGAGCTGTGTTTGGAGAATAAAAAAGATGGATTTGTGGCCCTTTGTAAATTGTCATTAATAATGCTCCTCCAAACGATACAATTGTCCCAATCACCTTTGCTATGCTTCGTATCTGCTTAATATTTACATGTTCAATCCTGATAAATGGAATACTATAAGATTAGTAATTTTTTTTAATAAAAATTTATTATAGTAATAATCATCTTGTGTTAGGAGTTACCTGAAAATTACGGCTAAGAAAAAGGTAATCGAAGGCACAGTATTCGCCAAAACAGATGTAAACGAAGCTGATGTATATTGCATTCCCAAGAAAGTGAATCCTTGATCAATCACTGGCCTGCAATAGTACCAAATGGTATACCATACATTATTATTATTATTACTATTAAGAATAATAATTCTAGTTGAAACAAATTTTCTACGCGGTGCACTTAAGAGATGCAACATATGACCCACCGTTCACTCATTTTGTGTATTTCTGGTAGACACACACTGTGCTTGTTATAAGTGGCAAGAGACATAATTGAGAGTATGATGCTAAAATTTTTGTCTTTTCCGCAAAAATAAAACGCAGGCATCATACTTTTTTAAAGAATATAATTGGTATGTAATTTTTTTTACCGTCAACTAATTATTTTTATCTATTCTGTCATTTCAATTCTGTCATATCAAATTATAAATTTTAAATTAATTATATAATATAATAAATTAATATATTCTTATCGGATGATAGTGTAAAATTATTTTACACTTTTAATTTATATCAATTAAATTTTTTTTAAAACTTAAAATACAAAAAATTTATATTAATTTCTACGTCCAAAATATCACAAAAAAAGAGACAGAGTGGAGAATACATTAGAATGTGAGTTTAAAATTTTGATCTGTTTTATAAAAAAATAAGAGCAAAACCGATATACTCGAAAGATCAGACCTAATTTTCCGGCATGTTTGATTTTCTTAATTTAAAAAACATATTGAAGAAGTATAAACATAAATATTTTTCTGGACAAAAATTCATAAATTCATAAATAAAATTAAAAAAAAAAACATGTATTATAAGAAATTCCTACTCTAAAACCTAAAATTAAAATTCATTATACTATCTCACGCAGACTAAATGGTGGGTGATATAACTTAATTGTTATTTCCTAATTGATTTGGGGAAAGCTATTATATTTACTAACTCAGACTAAATCCTAACAAAAATTTAAATTTCAAATCTAATTGATATAGATGTTAAAAAAATCTATTATAGTCCAATCAATTATTTTAACTTAAAATATATTTTATAGTTATTATGTTAATTTTTTCTACTTTGCAGGTATAGTTCTTTTTTCTAGTGTCTTTATATATAGTTATCAACCAAACTGACATTTTTATATTAGTTAATAAGAATGATAAAAAAATTATATATTTTCAACCAGTCACAAACCATTATTTGTATAAAATTTAAATTTAAATTGATAAAATTCAAACTTTAGAGATTTATATTTTTTGAATAATTGATAATGTAACAAAATTACTAAGTCTGTGCATATAAACTAAATCATAAGTTTATTTTATATTTTAAATAACTTATAAGTAAATTTTAAATTATAGAGCTTTTCTTTATATTTCTATACACATCATAAAATTAGTAAAAAAAATCATGAGAATAACAACGAGTTCCATAATATTACTTAATAATTTAATATAGCAGATTTTTATTAAAAATTGTGGTATTTGAAATTAAACTACTTAACTATTTTAAAAATAATTTTTTTAGAGTTGTTAAATAATATTCTAATGACACTCATCATTAAGTACAATTTTGGTGATGGTGTTTTAAGAACACATGTTAATAAATAAAATATAATTTATTTTTTCTAAAAAGTACAATTTTTTAATTGAAGTACCTCATGATAATATATCTAGTTTAAAATATGTATCCTTAGAATATTTGTTAGATTATTAATTGTATTGATATGTAGCTATATAGATAGATTTTCGATCATTACTCCAAAAATGCGAGTGCCATTATCCGCAAAAAGACAGAGATAGTCATCTTTGGCCTAACTTTCCTGCAAAATTGTAAGAAAAGTGGTTGTTAGAAATAGGAAAAAATATTCAAGACAAAGAAAAAAAAGTTAACTCCACTTTTATTAAGAATAGACATTAACTCTTTTCAAAGGAAAAGCTGAATACATTTGGTTTTGAAAAGTTAAATTATTAACAAATATATCTCATAAGTCATCTCAGTCACTTAATGGTTGTATAAGGAGCGGAGATTCGAAATTGCGACATCCTATTTGTTATTTTCAAGGCTGAATTCCAACTTACTAAATGACTTAAAAAAAATAAAAAGACAATGATAATTTATAGGCTAATATATCACCTTTCAAAAAACCATGCAAAAGGAGCAAGGGCAATTGCAGCAATGATATTACGATAAACAATGAACACAAAACGACTCATTCCAATATTGAAACTAGCCATGGAGATTATGTATGCTCCTGCAAACCCAAATTGAATTGCCACAGTTAACACATAAGGCTTTGCCTTACTGCTAAAACTAGCAAAACCTATTTTATCCATTTCTTTCTATTCAACAAAAAATACTGATATTATTTAGAGAGATGGTTTCAAATGTATGCAATGGCCTTCTATATAAATACTAGAGTTGTGATTAGGACTTAATCAATTAAATATAGCTATATGGTAAGTATATCTTGAAGAGTCACTGGTTTTAAAGTTTCTTTTTTATTTCTTTTTCTCTATCAGATATGAAAGTTAAATTATTTAGTGGGAGTATATGCAACTATAGCTCGGCTTGATTGAGATGATTCCTTCTCTACTTAATTAATATCCTTGAGTCATAAAACACTTTGGAGTATTAAATGAGAAAGAATACACGATGGGCCGCGGCAGGATTTTTCATAAACCCACTATAATAACTTATTTTTTTAAAAATATTAACTGTTTTGGACTGGACTGAGACCTATTTTTTAGCCGGCAGATCCAACTCAATACTATGCTGATGAAGTTCAACAAGACCCAATCTCCTATATCGAACACAAGCCTCAACAAAGCACATTCGTCGGACAGAAGACTCTCTTGGCAGGGAAGCCCACACGCTTCCCCCACGTTCTCTACGTGTCCCTCACGAGGGGACACGTCATCAGTCATCTACCCACTTTCGAAAGTGATGGTTAGCCCATCTTCCGAAGATCACGGGGCAGTTGATCCAGGGCGAAGACCACGTGCTGGTCTTCACTACGCTACGTAAGCCCTGACAGATACTTGTGTTGGGCTTGGCAATCCGCCCCAATGCAATGTAACCGTTGACACTGTGCTGGGGGCACATTATTAATACCTCTTTCACTAGAGGGTCAGGTATTCTATTCATCACACCTTCTCTCTGTACTTCCTCTCTCTAATTCTGGTACTTACTTAAGCATCAGAGCATCTTGCAGGTACACCCCCCTTCTCCTCCACAACACCGGTGAAGGCAACAACTCAAGACGCGTGGTAGGCTACTGGTTTCTTTCTAATCAGATAAGATCAGTGGCGCCGTCTGTGGGAACCTCTGCTTTCCCGTTCTTTCTCCTGTCCGAGCACAGAAGTTCAAGAACCAAAGCGAAATCAAGCTTCAACTTTCATTCCAATCACGGTCAGCCCACGCAATAACAAAGCTCTAGGATTTGCCTTTACCCCCTTCTCCAACGGGGACGGCCATAACCCCAACACGGTCGTCCGCAACGAAGAAGGTGACCATAGGGACGGGTGCACCGCCTCTCCCTCCTCAGAAGACACGGCCTTCAACGTCGTCCACCGCTTAGACAGCCCGGCTGTCTACCAGCTCATCCCGGTCCCAGTTGGCGCTGATCCTACCGTGTTAGCTATTTTCGCAGCGATCAACCATACCAACTTGACGATCTTCGGGCATAACGAGCAGATAGGGATGCTCCAGAGAGAATGGCCATCACGCTCTCCCCTGCGGAGACACCAGCGCCCGGTTTCCATCAGTCTGTCTCCTCCCCGCAGAAGTCGCGGTTCTTCGAGGATTCACGAAGTCCCTCTTCCCTGCCAACGGGGTGCCACCCTCGTTTGGAGCGGCCTCAACAGCTGTTTTCCCACAAACGGAACTGGTCGCCTCCCCAGAAAGAGCGACGTTCCCCGGCTCAGAAGAAGAAATTCGCAGGGGCCCCTCCAGACTGAGAGCCCGGCCGAGGAGTCCCCCACGTCGAAAGAGAAACCACTAGGGTCCAGCTTCCCCCTCACTGTCTCCCATCAGGAGTGACGAAGACATCTAGCACTCACCGTTATGCAGAGCCATCAAGGAGGCCCTGTTGCCAGTGGGAATGGAGAATCCCCCGATCTTGGCAACGTACGATGGGACGACTGACCCGGACGACTATATCGAAAGCATAGACGCTATGCTCGACTACTGGAATATACAGGGAGCCATTAAGTGCAGGTTGTTTCCCACCACCCTGAGGAAGGGAGCCATGGCGTGGTACAAACGCCTGACGCCCGACTCCATCACCTCCTGGGACAAACTAAAGCGGCAGTTCTCCAGGCACTTCACGGTTCCCGGCGCCATCCAAAGATAGAAGCGGCCCTGGAAGCCATTATCCAATGGAAGAACGAGCCTCTCCGAGATTACATAGAGACATTCAATCGCGAAGTCGTCGAGGTGTCCACCACACACGATATGAAGAAGTTCTTGATCTAGAGAGGCATACGACCACACTCTGACTTCGCCAAGGCCGTCGGGATCGCACGTCCCCGGACCTTGAATGCCCTCCTCTATAAAGTTTAATCATACATCGAGTATGAGGAGATAGAGGCCGCCAACACCTCCAGGAATATACGGAACCAGAATGGCTTCAGAGGCTCCAGGCATGAGGAAGCCCCTCCACCTCGAAGCAACGAGCAAAAAAGGCGTGAAGACCGGCCCCGCGAACAGAAAGGGCCAGCGGGCCGATTCACTGAGTACACGCTACTCACAGCTTCACGCAAGCGCATCCTGACCGAACGCACCAATTCGGAATTCTAGAGGGGCGGAGTCCAGTTCTCGAAATCGACATCCCCGAAACCCAACATGGACAAATTCAAATACTGTCAGTTCTACAAGAGCCATGGACACGTCACGGAATATTGAATCCACCTCAAAGATGCAATCGAGATCCTAATTAAAGAAGAGCATCTGAAACAGTACACCTAGAGGGGTGAAACCCCCCACTTGAGACCTGCAAGGCCAAGAAGGTCGAGGAAGCGTCAATTCCCTCCGACGAAACGGGACTACAGGTGGCCCTGTGTGTCTCCCAACTAGAGGATTTCCTCCTCTTTAGCGAGCCCGCCAGACCACTGACCCACAGTCCTTGGGAAGATTTTCCAGCAGCATTGGTGATATCCGGTGGTCGAGACCAGGCATCTGCTACACCTGGGAAACCCTCCCCTTTCCAGATTTCTTCATGGCCTTGCTGGCTGCAAACCTCTTCACACACTCGTGCATGCTCGGCATCTTTCCTGCAAAAGAAAAATAAACAAAGTTAGCAAAATAAACCAACAATGAGCATACAGACAAGGTCCAAGTGAAAAGCGAACTTACTACCTAAGAGGCACAGGGCTTCCTCATCGGACGCACATTCGAGGAAGGCCCTCATATTGATCAAGCGCAACTTCGTACGAATCTCCTTGCGCGAATCGAGGATAAAGTTCCCATCCGGAGTCACACGCTTCACAGGGGCGAAACTAGCCACAAAAGCGACCAGCTTCTCGTAAGCCGCCCGTTTGTCGGTGTCTCGTGAGCCTGCCCGCACTATATAGTTATTCGTGTCCTTGTTAATGTGCTCCTTTATCCAAACTAGAGGAATCTTCGACACCAAGACTTCCTCGGACTGCCCGTCCCTTTCTCGGACCTCGAGGTTAAAAAGTGAATCTACAGCCATATGAGTAACGGGCTTGACGGCGTAATATCGGTCCTTGAAATGCCGGGTAGAATCCATGTATTCCCGGAAGAGCCTCCTCGGCTGCTTCAAAGACACCCAGATGTGTCGGCCATCGATCTTCTGTCTTTAGAGGTGGAAGATACGGAAGAAGAGGGTGAGAGTGGCCCCGATATTAATTAAGATGTTGACAAACAAGCTCGTACGCTCGCAAGAACGTGATTGCGTTGGGATGTAGTTGTGAGGGCGACAGCCGAAGCCAATTAAAAACCTCCAGCTGGAAGTCAGTGAAAGGCAGACACAGTCCCGCCTCTCGGAAGGTAAACTCGTATATAGGGAACCTCATCCCCTTGAACGTCGAGCATATCCGGTGGTTTGCCCGCGGTTTTTACACTTTCTAGCTTACAATGGAATCCTCGAGACGGTCATCAACATTGGCGTAAGCGTCTGACTCATCCACAACGAAGCAGGAAGAGATGCTCAAAGGCTCCTCCCTGGCCCAGTCCGTGGTAGATATCCTGCGCTCTTCGCCGGCCTGAGCCATCGGAGAGTCTGGCTCGTCTTCACTTTCGATAATTCCTTGGGCCTAATCAACCATTTAGACTTGAAAAGCAGAGGAAATTGGTGAATTCGACATTCAAAATTAAATCCACCCTTCCACCACAGATCAAGTGAAAGGGCAAAAAGGGAAGATCCCTACGAGCAGGGTGTCTACCGCCTCGACAGACGAGAGCGGACCCTCGAGACTTCGAGCACTTGTCCCCGGGAAGCCATACGAAACTATCCAACGTCCCTAGTAGGGCCTCGCTACCTGTCTCTGGGAACTTCGGGCAAACTATCATACCTCCCTGGGGGCTTCCTCGTTTGCCCTCACGAGATTCGTCCAAACTTTCATGCCTCCCCGGGGACTTCATCATTTGTCCCCAGGGGATTCACCAAAAACTATCCTACTTGTCCTGCTGTTGCAACCTAAAATTTTCCCTCGGGTTTTCTAACTTTGACTGGCTTTTGCTTCACTTTCATCTGCATATCATCTAGGTCGTTCATTTCTCGCATACTGCTTATATTATCAGCCGAATTGGATTTATCGGGATTTCAACCGCTTTGCTCTCATTTTAGGCGATTTAAACCAATTCAAACGAGAAGTTCCATGTCGAAATCGAGCAAACGTTGCTCTCTTCCTGGTGATTCAGTTTGTGCTGATAATCCTGTTGCGTTTCGGTGTTCGCCTTTTATCCGTTTTTATTTCGCTGCATTTTTTGTGATTTTTTTATTCATATTTTTGCTTTATTTACTTTTTATAGAATTAATTAAATTAGGAATTTGATTTTTGTTTAGAAATAGTTTTTTTAGAATATGATAGAAAATATTTATATTAGCTTTTAGATTTATATATATTTATTTATCTATTTTAGTTTCTTTAGAGATTTTAATATATTTTTAGAAGTTAGATTTTGACTTTTTCTTATTTATCATTGAGCATTTTATTTCACTTTCATCTTTTTGGTCGATAAAGAGACCTCTCTTGTTTTTCTGTCAAATTATTGATGAGAAACGATAGATCCGAGACCACTTTCTCTTCACTTTTCATTTTTGACTTTATTTCATCTTTATTAATTTCCGCTGCTTTTTGGTCGATGACGA